ATACTGATGGTCATGGATTACCAGTGAGACAGCTGTCCTTTTACCACTCGTTGATTTGTTTCGATGGTAAATCGATACCGGAGAATCGAAAACTCTATCGGCTTTCTTGTGAGCAGCTCTCCAAAGAAGAGGCTATCTGCAGCCACATTAGCAGTTAGGTAGCAGAGGTGCTTCCACTTGGGTTCCCTCTTACGGAGTTCGTGGTAGACATTTGAGGAAAGGATTGAGGATTCCCACGTTCCGTTTTCTCGGGATTTTGCTTATTTTTATTGAGATTGCACTCTCGAGAGGAAGTACAGTCTCATGAAGTACAGGATTGTACTTCCTTATTCCTAGTACTTTCGTTTTTCGCCATTGTCATACATGTTGGTCGCAGGGAAGCTGGCATTTCACTATTCCATTTCATGAGTGATTCGTTACGTGACGCTGGAGAATGGGTGAGAAAGAAAGGAGAAAGCGGAAGGGCTGGAGTACATTACCCAGGCAGATATTTGCCTCCGAACATATGCCAATTTTCATCGATGCCTGTCGAAAATGCCGTCTTAACAGGGATGACTTTCAGAACCAGTTTTCCAGGAATCGTTGATTTCCCCTTTTCCGCTGGTTTTTTTTCCTAACTTTATGTTAGCGGAGACATAAAATTAAGTGCATTTCCTCTTCGATTGCGGCAGTGTTCCGAAACAGAACAGGAGCTCCACTTTCCATTTCCAATGATTTTCTGCTTTTTCAAACATTTTCCAGTAATTGTCTAGTTTTTAAAAACCGTTGATAATTTTACTGCTGGAAAAGGGGTGAGGTAGGGAAGTGCAGAATCCAACAGTATATGGACAGTGTAACCAAGGGAATGGGAAGTGGTGTCCCCTGTTCCGACGTGAGAGTACATGAACTTGGACGGGGCAAGGATTTAGCAAAACGACTTTTATTTGTTGTTATTTTGCGGTGAATTCTACGACATTGCGATTTTGCGGTGAATTCAGCAACACAGTGTTGCCTTAGTGCCATGTCACAGTAATTTTTTCTTTTCCGATGCCTCCGTTTTGCCAAGAAAATGAAATATGGTGATTTTGAGTTTATTTCATAAATTACGAATACTGTGCTGTTGTTTTGCAGTATCCGTACATGCTACAAGGGCAGCAGAGTTCGCTGATCTATCCGGGTAATGTTGGAACAGCACCATTCGGGACAACACAAACTGGATACGGCTATGGTTCTTTCACGGCAGTATACAACAACGGCGGAACATCAAATCTCCCACCAGTATCTGATCCACCCACTCTCACGCTGAATGGAAATATTGGAGGTACATGTTTAGTGCTATTTGGAATCACTGGAAAATCGCGAATACGTCGTAATCCCAGCTTTGATCTTTGATATTTCCTTCTGTACTTATCAATTGGCTGATAGCTATTCCTTGAATAATATTAACAAAATATTATTAATTCGCAGTTAAAATCGATGGCTGAATAAGTAGTTGAATATCAAATACTAGAAAGA